AACTCAATTTCCATAAATCATAATCACAATTGTTTGTTTTAATAAAAAAAATAACTATTTATATTACATATCATGTCTATCTAACTTTATAATATTAATAATTATTATTAAGACCCAAATTATTGAAGAATAAAACTAAATATAAATAAACAAGTATAATATTAAACACATAATTACATAAATTTACGAATAATATAAATCAAAAATATTTATTAGCTATCTATGTATAATGCATAAAAATACTTGCAAAACAATATAAAGCTTTTAAAGATGTGAGAATTTTTTATTTATTATTAACTTTTTATGAAACAATTTAAATAACATTAATAGCAAATTATAAATTTAGTATTTTATAAAATACTTAGAAAACATAATAAATTTATCTGGCTGATCCCTTAATTATTTTAGACTCAAAATAGTTTAATATCCTGTTAAAAATCAAAATTTGTATTAAACATTAAATATTTTTTATTTAAAATTCATAAAATATGCAACATTTATGTAATCATCTTAAAATATTAAACTTATATTAATTAATAAAAATCAAATAAATTATATTTACCAGTCAATCATTTTAAAATTATCACACAACAAATTGAAAACTTGATTAACAAAATCGAACAATAAGTAGTAAAGATCTTATAATACTACAAATGCATGTCTTCCAACCATTAATTCTTTTTTCCTAATTTCTGAAAATATAAATACATAAATAAAAAGTATTAAAGATGCCTCTCCATAACTTTATTTTAGTTTAAAAACTAAATACATTACACTTTAATATTTAGTTCAAAAATAAATATTACAACCTAACCCTGCTGTATCTTCTTCTTACTGTTTTTTTTTTTTTTTTGAAAATTTTTGAAAATTAATTTTACATTTCTCTATAAAACAAAACGATTATTTATTTGATTGTTATAAAACATCATAAGCGGTATTTCTTTTGATTCACCTAAAATAATCAATTTTATTTTATTTAACTATAGGTACCTAACCTATATATAATTATTACCGAAACAATTAATAAAATCGGTTGAATAAGTAGAAATAACCATTGCTAATAAATTGACAATTATTTTTTGTACGTGTACCTCCTATACTCGTCGAATATATAGCAAGAAATATTTATCAATAACTATTAAGTATTACTGTATTAATGAAGTCTTATAATTATAATAATGAATCATAGTTAAAAAAGAAATATGATTATAAAGATGTCTAAACGTATACCACTCACATACACCAAGATTGACACTTCCGAAATTATTCAGAAAAATTCACCAGCTAAACGTGTGTTTTTAAATAGTTGACCTTAAATAGTGAACAAAAAATGTAAAATAACAATAATATTATTATGATTAAATACCTACTACAAATTCTAATCTAAAGCATTATGCTATAATATATATAATAATATTATGATTGGAATGATTAGTAAGCGGTAGCTGAACATATAGTCCGTGCCGACGATCGACACATAACTATTACAATTATTATGATATTACTAAATAGACATTTAGTATATATAGAATGAAAATATGCAGGCAGGTAGAGTTGCACTATTATAATATGTTCATTTTGTTAAGTACTCAAGTAGAACAATATATATATATATTATAATATAGTATATATTACTTATATAGTAAGAGTTGTAGACATATTATAGACAATTAAACCAAAAAACAAGCACATCGCTCATAAAAATATGCGGCTTAAATTATGGACGAATTTATAAAATATGAAATATGTAATACCTACGTTTGAGTAAATGAGCATAATTTATTTGAACGAATATTTTAGATAAATATTAATTAATTATTAATGTATTTTTGTATTTTGGAGAAATTTTACACAACGTACGTTACCCTCTCGTTTGAATAAAACTAAAGGGAATGTCAGTGAATAGGTATCACAAATATTGATATTTGAAAAATACATGAATTGAAAACGTATAATATTTATAAAAAAAATACGCATCTGCAATAAGTAGGTAGGTATTTATCTACAAAAGAAATTTTTAAAAATAAATCTTAAATTGTATTCTTTGCTTTTTATTATACGTATAATATACTCTACCGTAATAAGTAATAACGCATTTTCAATAAATTTATTGATCCAAAAATTTTGCATTTTTTTTCATAAATTTAATTTTATCTTATTTTTATTTTCATAAGCTACACATAATATTTAGCATTTACTTTACACTATGGCGATCTCAAACACAATTTAAAAATGTTGAAATTTATATGTGCAAGAAAAAACAATCTGCTCTATCTAACTCATTTTTAAATATATATATAAACCATTAGATCAGTAATAGCTAAAAGTAGTAATGCAAAAAGCAACCTGTCTCCGTAAAAGTATTTACAAAAAAAAAAAATGACCAGTAATAGGCAATAGCCAATACTCAATAGGTATAAATAGTATAATCCTATAAGTAAATCTGTAATAATCATATAATACTTTATTGAAAACTTTTTTACCGACAGTATACAAGCAATCAACTGGTATACCTGATCGAATTCGCAGGCCTGAAGTATAGGTCAGTGGTTATTTTTTAAATAAAAAAATATACTAGAGTAGAAAAAATGTTCCTGTTAATAATGAATTCTATTTTCTATAAGATATATGTATAAATCATTTTAAAACCTATGATCTGCATAAAAATCATGTTAAATTTAAAATAAAATTCTCCTAATAGTCAACATCAACCGCTATTCAAATCTACCGTACGTTTTTCTCGTGGTTTTATCATATTGATAATAAATTTATCTTTGTTTTTACTATCTTAATATAATTTAATGAATTGCAGTTGAAATTGAATGTGTAATGAATAATGATTAACGTGTTAATAGAAAAATAGGTCTCTTCATAACCGCTGTCTGCTCGGAAACTTAAAACTTTTTGAGACAACAGATGTATATTATGTATTGTCAAACAAAACTGTTTGCCGTAGCACGCGGTTTCCTGTACCTGGGTACCGATTTACAGCTTATATTATATTTTGTAGCAATGCCGGGTACATACCCACATATCATTTAATCATCATAATACTATAGTATCTACCTACGAGCCAGTTCGAAGACGGCTCTCGGAACCACAATGATGGCGCACACGGTTTTATACGTATTATTAAAACGATCGCAGACGATGGCCGGATATCGATTTACGGTTTGTTTTTTTTTTTTTTTTTGTATCGACGACGATCTATGCCGCGCGCGATAAAACAACAACAATTGATGCACTACCCGTGCGATCGGCAACGAGCGACGAGCCATCCGCACACATCGCGCTCACGACACTGAACTGTCTGGACAGAAGACTGAGCCGCGAGCGCAAGAGAATGTCGTCGCCGCCGCTGCTGCCGCCGCCACTCGGTAGATCGTTAGAGCCTGTTCGGGACGTGCCGGGCGCCGCGTTAACACGGTATAATATACACTCCATAATACACAACCAGTGAGTAATGATTACGGGCGGGAAAGCGCGGCGGGAACACGGTTCCCATGGAAACAACGGCATCACTGCACCTGTACGGCTGCAGCAGTAGGCTGTACCACTCCCACCAACCCAACACCTGTTGGTTCGCTCGAGCTTAAAAGACGCGTGTTAAGGGTGAGGGTGGACGGGGGATACGAGCGTTTGCCCGTGTCGATGGGTTTCACAAATGACAAACCCGTACACTCGTCGACATGACATTATAACACCGTCGCGTGACAATGGACACGAAATGTTTCCAAAAACGTCCCGACTCACTAGGAAAAGGCGATTTTTTTCGCGTTCTTGTGGTACACATTCTATACGGCGATAAAAAATATATTATGGTATCGGTGGTCGCTCTTGTCGACGTTTCAACGATAACGTGACAATGGCAGTAATAATGACTATGAACTTAGATCAAATATGTCAAGTACTAAAATACAAATAAAAATCCCCTAATCCCCTATAAATCTTCGATTTCGGCTTTACAGGATACAATTTATTATGTGGTCATGTGTGTGTCTGTTCAATTAACAATAGGATTTTCTAATGATCGTATAATTTTAATTTTGAGATCAATAATTTTGCCGTAATCATTAAATAATAAATATAGTACTTTTTCTCATTTTTTTACATTTTAAAAATATGATTTATGTTCAATTTTTCATTTAATTCTGCATACATTTCAATGTGGGGACTAAAAGAGAGGCTATAAAATCTGTGTAGTACCCAATAAAGAAATAAGCTATAATATTATTTTGAACTAATAATTTCATTACACTAATTAATCAGAAGGTTCAAGGTTGTACATTTTTAAATGTAAATATAAAACAGTAAGAAAGGAAGGGCTACCATTCTAAAAATTAGATTAAGACTTAACCCTACAATGTAGCTAAACATTTATGTACAAATGGTTAAGAAACATTAAATTAAAATTGAAATTTTAGAGAAGTGGCAAGATATATCTAATTTTTGATTGAATTAAGTTACACATCAAAATTTATGTTTCAATAATAAGTAAACAAAAAATTTGGGACATGATGTTTGAAAAAATGCATTTATATTGTAAATTAATGATTTCTTAAATATTTATTTATTTATTTAGTATTATTGATTTTTAGTGGGGAAGTTTATCCTTTTAGCATTTGCTATAGCTTTTTAAGTCTAACAGTGAAACTTCAGTTTCACTCCTAATTTTGTCTATACAGCTACACCCAATATTTGGATGCTTATCTAACTTATTAGTGCAATTACTGTATGAATTGAATTATGGCATCAAGAGTAGGCTTGTGCAAAGTCTAATCTAAAATAAAATATATTTTACAACAATCTAAACAAAATTCATATTTCACACTTTTTAAATAAAAAATTAAAAAATTAGAGAAAAGAAGTCTTAACATTCATTCATTTATAGTGAAAATTGAAGTATTTTTACATTAAAGTAATAATTAGTATTATTTTATCTTTATTTTAGATCCGAAAAAAAAAGGATTTTACAAAATTTTATCAAAGTAAAATAATATAATAACAATAGCTAATAGAACAACTTACAAAAGTTCATATAAAATTTTATATATTTCTAATTTGAATAAAATATTCTTAATGATATTAATTTTAGTACATGGAAATGATACTAAAATTTAACTAATAGTTTATAATTTGTTCAATTTATGAGTATAAATTACTTGGACTTAGAGTTCCGTTTACTTTTTGAACTCTTTTTGTTCTTGATTTGAGACTCAATTTCTGGCCCTGATGATTCAAACACAAGTGGAGTAGATACTCTGAATATGGTTGGAACCATTGTCGCTAGTATTCCAAACACTTCTTCAGATATTCCCTAGGTAAGTTATTATTAATTTATGTTTGTTTATTTATTCAGTTTATAAATATATTAAATAATAAAACAGTAATAGGATATCTTATTGTAAGCACACTGTCAACAACATTGTGATTGCAATATGCGTTATACTATATTTTACCACTTTATAAACATATTTAGATTTTAAACTATATAATATTCTCGTAACAAATGCATGATTTAAAAATTAATTTAAAAGTAAGTAACATATCACTAAAAATTATTACATATTATCAACAGTGATACCTGTAATATTATTATGTTATACCTTGAAAGTAAATCTGGAGTTATACCCGAGAACTGTTGATCAATTACTAAATATACTATAAAAAATTATATTATGCAGAAAAAGAGAGTGAAAATTTTTATCACCATTAAATCACAATAATAAAGATATAAATTATGTAGTAAAACACATATGCAAAACGTTCCACCCTTAATTACAAGCAGGCCACAATCTGCAATATAGTACGTACTACAAGATAGCACAGTAACATATTAATACTCACTTTTGGAACTAGGAACTGAATAGTTTTTAATTCTGATCCACCTAAAGATACAGATTCTATCATAAATCCTTTTACACACTTTAAAACTAGTTCTGCACGTTTCTGACACCAAGGAACAGTCATATCCTAAACAAATAATAACTAATTTAAAACATTAAAACAATAATTAGTAATCAAATATTTAATTTAAGATAAAATTTTAAATTAAAAACTAATTATTTCTTTATGAATTACTTTTTCTTTAAATAAATTAATTTTATTATAAAAAGTGAGACTTAAAATTTGGCAAATCAAAATTTTTTTATTATCTTTAAAATTTAAATTGTTTAAGATCAATATATATTTAAAAGTAAAATTTTAAATAAATGTCCTTGCTTCATAATTTTTTTTTTTTTTTTTTTTTTTTTTTTTTTTTTTTTTTTTTAATGTGATGTAATTAGTGATTATCCTTAGCATATTATATTAAAGTATTTGTAATTACCTCAGTCATTTCATGAGTTAAAAATAATGGAATAGTTATCATAGTAATATCATATGAACAAGCTGTTTTCAATATATTTCTTAATCCTAAGATTACTGGATGTCTTGAGTTTATATCACCTAAAAATATTTAAATATTTTAAAAATAACACTTTTTTTTAGGCATGTTAAACAATTAACCTGATTTTAATGAATCATCAATAACCATGTGAAATACGAGATGAACAGAAGCAAGATTTGAATGTTTTGTAATATAAACGTCACCACATTGTAAAAGTTTTGATTTATTTCGTCGGGCCTACAATTTAACACACTTTTTATTGATAGAGTAATTAAATTAATAAATAATTAATATTTTACTTGTAACTCTGGAGATAAAAAATTACTAACTGGACCCTTGCACTTTCGATTTTCAACGGCTACTTTAAGATCAGATTTGATAATTTCTAATTGATCCTGTAAAGAATCAAAATGAAATTCTGTACTACCTTCGCAAATATCAAAAAACTCTAAAACAAAAAGCAACAAAATTTTATTAATAAATTATTAAGTCTAATATTAATTTAAAATTATATTAAAAATTACCCTTTGCTAGACCAGAGTAGAAATCTAAGTTATTTGTATCAATAAATAAAACAAGACCTTTAAGATCTTGAGAATATAATTCTAATACTGTTTGTAATCTTTGAGGATGATGAACAACAACTCTAAAAAATATTATTATTATTAATAATATTTTAATTTGAATATTACGTAGTATAATAAATATTAAATACCCGTTTTCTTCTAAAGTTAGACTTAGAAGATTTAAAGTATCTGCTGACATAATGCGAATATTATGAGTAGATTTCATTTGTGACCCAAGGTGTATAGTGAAACTTTCTTCCATATCATATAATGACATATTTGAAATGGTAAAGCCATTTGAAACAATACTAATAGGAGAATTCCTAAAAATTATTATTACCATTTAAATTTTTTGTTTTTAATCTAGGGAAAATTAGATTTATTGTTTTTAGTTTTTACCCAATAGGAGAATACAATCCATCGACTCCTTGCATTTCTTCTACTGTTTTCATAATCCATTCTCTATACCCAGTGCGTTGTTCCTGTTTCAAAGTATCAAGTCTACTATTCCATTTACCCTAAAAATGTTTAAAATATAAGTTATTTTATCACATAGTACAGATCATAATAAAACAATAATACAAATAGTGGCTTGATTGTGGGGGAAAGGGGGGACATTTGCTTCCTCCTGACAATGTTGTGAGGGCAATGATATCATATCCTCCCATAGATAATCCAACAATACAAATTTACAAAGTTTTGACAATGGTAAATAAATTATTCCCTCCCCCCTAGATTTTTTCTTAGTTATGCAAATTAATACAAACATATTATAATCTGTAGATTATTTCCAACATCTAGATACAAAAATAAATAGTTGATTACCAGAAAGAAATCTACTAATGCTATCATACAGATAAAACAAAAGGTCTGAATTTTTCACAATAATTAAATATATAGATATAAACTAATTGCCAGGCCCTGATAGAGAGCTATAGTTCCATATTCAGTAAATAATTTAGTGCCTCTATTCTAGTAATATTAAATATTTAATTTGTGTTAATACATTTATTGTATACACTTTTTTATATTTTTCAATCAATATACTATACCCATCATTATTCAATTTTAATAAAAATAAAATATATAAATAAATAAATATAAATTTATATATTTTATTAAATATAAATATATAAATATATAAATATGAAATTTATTTTATTTTAAATGTATATATTTTAATAAATTTAACTGCTTGCCTCACTATACTGTGATCTAATTGATGTAAGCAATTTTAATAAAATTGCAGTACAAAACTACAGTTGTAGATACAGATATAATCTAATCTATTAGTATTTAATACCATAAATTATTGGTTGAACAACCAGACTATATTTGATGAGGCTTTTCCTAGGAACATTTTAATTACTGTAATATGTTTAAGATGGCAAGATTTTAATTACAATAAAAATGTTTCTACATCATAATTATTAATATTTTTGATTATAAAACAATAATTTATTCTTATACTGAGATAAAATATTTCAAATTACTTGAAGTAATGTTTGGTCATCAAAATGCTTTAGTGCTAAAGCATTAATATCATCTTCAGTACTATATTTATTCAATCCATCCATGGCATAATTCATTTCTTCAGTTTGACTAGACAAAATTTTAAAAATATTAACCATTTTGTTCAAACAAATTTATTTTTTTAAATTATATGAACACACGTTTTTGTCAAGGATGTAACTTGTCTAAATTTTCTACTCATGATATCTTGGACTGCTTGTGCATAACCATACTCAATATGAAGAATGGCATCCAAAGAAGGTCCTGAATGAGCTAATTTGTGAAATGCAGTACCAAACAATTGATCATTACTAGGTCCTTTATTATTAGTCAATGAGAAAGTTTCCTAAAATCATTAATAATATAAATTATATTTGTAAATGTAAAAGAAAACATCTTTATGATCTTGGCACCTTACCTGTTGAAATGCCTTTTCCCAATATTTAACAATGTCTTCAACTTCAATTGATTCATTTTTTATACTTTCTATAGCTTCAACTGTCTGACAATCATAAAATTCAATTGAACACTTTTCAACAAATTTTTGTAACTCGCCCGATAATTCTATAAAGATAAAATGAAATTAACATTTTTGTCCATAAATGAAGACACAAAAATATTATTACCTTCTATTACGTATAATGGTAAATTAAATCCATTTATAATTCTATGACTTAATTCTTCTATACTACCTTCAAATGGTATATGAACTGGCACTTCAATCTTATAACTGTCAGGAATACTAAGCGTAGAAATTGTATAACAAAAAGTTTTCTGATATTTCTTTTCGTAATCTTTATTCCCATTCATTATTACGATTGCTAAGTATTTAAAACAATTATATTTCAAAATTTCATAGTTTTATTTAATGAAATAAATATCATATACTATAACTATAGTACTATACACATAAACGACAATCTAACAAGTTTAAATACACTTATCACTATATTATAGATAATAAAGATCTTTATTCAGTCATCGCAGAAAAATAATTTCTTATCATACCTAACCTTTATCAACAAATATTAAGCAAAGATTTCTATAGAAGTCATGTTATTAAATTATACTCGAGTGTAAAAGCTCGATGATTAAATCTCCAATATTTTTTTTTTGTCTGCCAACGTCCATCATTACATATACATATAATTTATTAGCATAAAATATTTAAACAAATCTAGTTATTTTTAAATTAAAATGATGTATCACTATCAATCATTGATAATCACAAATTGCATCCTGTATTGCAAGCAATCTTTAGATAATAATGTAGTTATTAATTATGCATATACTAAGTACCATAATCAGCAAACCATAGGAAAGATTTCTCTTGCGTTATAAATTATAAGCATCAAACTTTTTCTAGTCTAAAGTCTATAATTATAAGTCTGAATTTCCTCTAGTCAGTAGCACCAGACTTTTAAAAATCAACTTGAACCAAATAAAAATAATAGTTCTAAGCCAACTTTAAGAAGCAAGAAGGCAATATTTTCCCATTATTATGAAAAAACAAACTGTAAAAATTAATATTGTTTAATTTCCGAAGGAAATATTTATAATACAATCTAATTCATTATTGACTACCTATTGTTCACTACACATTATTTAATTTGAATCATGTACAGAGTACCTACATAACCATTATGATAGTAATTAAACATAATATACTGGTATCAATTATAAATCATTTGGTACACATTTTTAATAAAATATTCAAGATGTAATCTGACTTTTGCAGGGTTTACTCCAATTCATTTGGTACAGTAGGATAGTGCATTGAATCATACATCAAATTATTTCTTATTATATTAATAAATTAATTTATAGTCAACAAATGACAATATTGGTCAAATATTGAATTCTATTAAGACCATATTACAGTCCATTAACAATTATCATATTTATGCGTATAAATATGTAATCCTGTTAAAAAAAAAACTTTAAAATCTAAATTTATGCAGTATAAAAGGCAAAATTAAAAATATTAAATTGAATTCTTTTTATTCAGAAAAATCAAATATAATATCGATTTTACAAGAAACTGGTTGTTGGGCGTCGAATAGAGAATGTGTTATAACGACGACGTTTTCCTTCAACACGGTGAGGTAGAGGGAAACGAATGTCACTGTCGTGGAATTGTTTCACATGTGGTCTTCTGGTGTTCTTAGCCTTCACAACTTCCACTTTAATGATCTGAAAAAAAATAAATATGCCTTATAATAAATATATCAATAAAAGTATAAATATAAACTATATTATATGTAAATCCAATCAATTTTTAAAAATTAAAAATAAAAGGTTTTTTATACAAATCTTGTAAAAACATAAAAATAAAAATTGTACTCAAAATTATTTAAACTCTCCCCTCCACAAAAAATAAAGAAAAATTAAATCCTGACCAGATCTAACCTAACCTAGCTTGCTAATACTGTACCTAAATACTCAACCTAAATTATATTTTAAAATATTATATTCACATTTTTTTTTTTTTAACTTCTAATGATTAAGAACATCAATAAAACTACAAAAATAAATACAATCTAATAACTAAGTGATAAAATTGTTTGTACATATTGACATTATTTAACACAATAAGGAATATAATAACTAATAAAGAAAAATAATTGTAATGGTAAAGTAAATCATTAGCTATTAGGATAATATAATTTTAAGAAGCTGACAAAAATTAAATATTTTATTTTTTTTTTGCTTTTATTCAGAAAATATTAAAATAAAAGGTAATTAAAAATATTTATTCTGAGGATATATGCTTTTATGCTTTACTGTCACAAGACTCATTTAATAATATAAAAACCCAATACAGTTGTGTAAAAAATTAAATCATTTAATTAATATCTGAAATTTAATGGATCAATAATTATATTTTAAAGATCAGTAAATTTTAATCAAGAGATCATTGGATCTTTATCGATCTGCAATTTAATCTAAAATTATTATTTGTCACTAGGGCTCAGATTTTGTAGAAAATACATTTTTGAGGGGAGTGTATTAGAAAGATAATTATTAAATAAAAATACGTTTTGAATCATTCTAATTCAACGAAGTTAACTTTTTATTGCTTTTTTCCACAAAACATGTTTTTATTGCATTTTCCCCTATATAATCTTTTTTTTTAATTTTTACTTATTTTTATTAAAAATTTAATTTAATAATAATTTATAGGCTAAAAATACTATATTATTATATTTAGAAATCATAAAACCCACGAAAAAATCAATAATAAATAAATGACTAATAAAATAAGTTGATATTGTGCCGAAATTGTAGGTTTTAAATTACCTGAATTATATATGCATATTTCTATAGCACATTCTAATACTTTAGTTAACCGGTAATTATTAATTAGTAAGGTATAGTGCTCTAAACAATTTTTCTATAATTGTTATTAGCACTCAATAGAATGAGTTTTAATGAAAGTAACTTGACCTAATATATGGTTGTAAATTCCTTTTTTAATATTTAATTTAATGTGCAACTTAAATTTAAATTTAATAAAAGCTTTTTTTTTTTGCTACTTTAAATACTTTTTTAAGAATTTATTTTGTTATAAAACCTGAGCCTTATTTATCACTTTAATTATAGTATAAACCATCAGTGGTTATTTGGGGAATATTTTTAGGATGACGGAAAAATACAAAAAAATTATACTTTCATTATATATAATTCATTTAACAGGAATTGGATACATTTTATCAAAATATATATAATCTTTCACACTGATTTTGAGATCTGTACTAGAGGTTATACAATATCAAATTTAAAAATACTGTAGACATTTTAATATTGATAATATTAACAAGGTTAATCCATTCCTATTTTAATATAATTATTGTTTAAATAACCAAAAATTATGTATACTTAAGAAATATTTTATTATAATAAGAAAAATTTTTAAATTAATACAGTATCAACATGGTATGGCATTTTTTATTTTAATTTTCAACTTTAAATTAAGATTTGGTAAATTTAACTAACTGTAATAAGATTAAAAAAATTAGAAATAACAAATTAATCCTATAAAAAATTACAACTACATGGGCAAATTGATACGTCATTTAGTCTGAAAACAAATTATTCCTAAATTAATAAATGAAAAGTATAATTAAATTATATTATATTTATATTGTTTATAAGAGATATATTAATTTCAATACTAAATTTAAGAAAAACATACATTGAAAAATATTAAACTGACAAATGTTAACTTTGATTAAAAATTAATAAGCATATTATAATTTATGGCAAAGATTGTCTATAATTAAAAACATACAATAATTTCATTTTAGATAATCCTGATTAATTTTTAACATACAAAATATTCTAAAGGAAATGAAACTTATTAAAATCTAGCATTAACTATTAAAATTCAATTTAATACTTAGTAATTATAAAAGAAACAATACCTGAATAGCATGAGCCCTGGCTCTGTGTCTTGCACCCATATCTCTATAGCATTTAGTAACAGCGCTAGCAACAGTAGTATCTCTATATTCACGGTACATGTTGTGTGTACCTGATCTTGAATCATAACGTAACCACACTCCAAAGTTTTTAATTTTTGTTGGAGATTTATCGGTAACCTATAAAAAAGAAAAACAATTAACCATATATTTCATTCAGAAAATACAATAATCATGGTTTAACATACTTCTTTCAAAGATACGATTTCTCCTGTACTTTTCTTAAATTTCTTAAGTTGTCTTAAGAAATACCAAAATCGAGATTTGGCAACAATGCGATCTGGAGCGAAAATCCTCATCTTGTATAAAGGTGTAGTCTTTTCTTTTTCAGTCGGCAATTTACGTCCGATGACCTCATATTCTTTCAACTGCAAGCAAATTAAACAAAATTAAAATGTAATACAATCCACATTAATATTTAATTTCACTGCAGTGCCACATGTCATGTGATTTTGAATACATCATTATTAATCCAGTTGTGTATATCGAAACACACTTCATGTATAAATACTTAAATAAACGTTAAATATTCCAAATAAATGACTAAAAACGTGAAAATACTTACATCTCCCTTGGCTTTCATTTTGAATTCAAAAAGATCCTAAAAATTAATTGGTAAATAAGTAACTACTGAAAAAAATTATGAAATGAGAGAGTACCAAACATAACCCCAAAGCTGATGGAATAATGTTTTTATCTTCTTTCCTATTTGTCACAGCACGATCATGGAATAATAATTACAACCTGCCATGTGCAGCAGGCTGCAATGGCAGCCACAGTAACACTATAAATCGCGATTTTAGTTCTTTGAAACAGCTACACTGGTGTCTTCTGTCGTCACAACATCTTTTTGTAAAAAATATATTGTTATTATTATATTATTCACTGGCTGTGAAGAGATAAGAACTTTATTAATAATTTTAGACAACAATACCAGTTTTACGTTTCAACTGAATAGTGTGTACTGTATATGTAATAGTAATAATAATAATGAATCATTAACCAAAACATTCGTTTTTCGTTATGTGTTGGCAGATAGTGATTGAAAAAAAATATCAGTCTCGAAGGTCGTGACGTTAAATGTTTGTGCCCATGTATTAAATATGACTTTGGCATTTCGGCGTGAAATATTATGACTGTTCCATCACTGAAAAATACAACGGACATTTTATCATTTCAAGATGGCCAATTGGACTGCTTTCACTTCCGACAGTTGTATGTGGTTTTTTTTCTTTGCCTATTCCATTTTTTCAACGTACTAATGAAAGATTTTTTTATATTTCAGCACCCAAAGTGCCAAATCGTCCCGCTCCTCCACCGCCCAAAGTGAACAAGCCTTTGTAAGTACTTTTATAGTACTTCCGGTGTTTTTAATAATCAACAAAATAATGACATTATTATTATTTGTTTAGAAATCAATCAAGATTAGCTAAAGTTCTAACATTGAAACATTCAAAATCACTCAATGGTTTTCAACAGCCTGTAAAAAAGAAACCTCCACCTAGACCACCTCCCCCAAAATTTGTACAAACACCTAAAAATCAAGTAATTTATAAATAATATTTAATTCTTAAACTTTTAAACATAATATTATTGTAATTTGTTGTTAGGTCTTTCATTAAAATATAAATCATCATCAAAAAAAAGGTATAGAGCTGTTATGATAAAATTTTGAATCTATGATGCTCTCCTCCTTATTAGAGTTGCCTATTTAATTATCATTTTCATTTCCTTTATTAGTTCATTAAAATATGGAAAAAATTAATTTAACATCTAGAGTTAATTATTTTTTCCATTACATTGCGTGTCATCTCAACTATTATTTTAGAAAAAAATTTTAACTCGTTTCATTATCCTAAATTAGGTACATAAACTGTATTAAAAAAAAAAAAAAATTAAATACAACTTATTTCATGTACTTATTTATAACAATCAAATTTTTTTAGGTTAAAGCTGGTTTATCATCTTTAATTGGATTTAAAACAAAGCAAACTACTCCAACACCTTCTTGGGTTGCAAAACCCAATGAAATCTCAATGAAGTCATCAAGTACTTCTCAGAACGTGGGATGTCTTATAGACTTAGATTCACCTCAAACTTCTCCTACATCTACTCATAAGTTTGTATTTCATATTTTTATTTTTATTCCATAAAAAAAAAAAAACTTTTTTATATAGATCTAGTAGCGATGGAAATAGTGTTGACAGTTTCAACAGTGATTTTGGACCTTGGAAAGGTTCACAAGCTGAAAGTAGTGGTTTTGAAGATGATTTTGATTTATTATGTTCGAATGCAGATATGGATTATTTCAAAAACCGCTTTTCAATTGAAACTTCATTACCACCACCTTCTTTACCTCCACCAATGTTACCACCAGATGCTCTTAATGTATTATTAAATGGTCCTAAATTACCTCCAAGACCGAATAAAATGGTAAGTCCAATATTAATATTGATAGTTAATGTTTAATTATTTATTTATTTTTTACATGAACTTTATTGATTATTAATTGTATTCATTTTATTTTATCATTATTTAAAAAAATGTCTTTATATCGTTATGAATTATATACCGCCAGTAGTTTTCGTTCTTGAATGTCTTAAAAGTAAATACTTGTTATTTAAAATACATCAGTGTTATTGATTTGACCAATAATTATCACACAACAATTTAAATTGTTATCTTAACAAATAAGATTATGTCAAAATATTTTTGTAACTTGTCCTCTGCTCATGATAAAAATATGAGTTTTATAATTATTTTACTAAAAAAAAAAATGTTTACACGACTCATTAGTGATCAAATCAAATTTGTATCTTAAGTATACTAATTTTATTTGTCACATTTTGTATTACTAAAACTAAAATGGAATATTCATTTAAAAATATATTGTATATTCCTTTAATTTATATTATTCTTAAAATTCTAGCAAACAGAACTATCAAAATCACAGTCAAAATGTATTGCTCAATTTGATTACATGTCTGGTCATGAAGATGATCTAGTTTTTAAGGTAAAATCCTAATTATATTTTTTATTATATTCTTATTTATTTAAATATTTTTCATTATCTTAGAAAGGTGATGAAATTTTTATTACACGATGTGTCAATGATGAATGGTTAGAAGGTACATTAAATGAGCGTACTGGAATATTTCCCATTAGTTATGTTGAAATAACTGAACCTTTACCCAAAGAATCTCTAGCTAATGAAGAAATTCGCAAAGTAATAGCTGTGTTTTCATTTAAACCAGAATGTTGGGAAGATCTAAGTATACAAGTAATAATTAATACAATTTCATACTTAGCATTTCCTAAAAAGAAAATCATTATATTAAATACTAATTTTCAACTATTTAGGAAGGCGATCAAATTCAAGTATTAAGAAGAATCAATGAAAATTGGTTATATGGGGAGTGTAATGGATCTAAAGGTCAGTTTCCATCAAATTTTGTCACTGAACTACCTGATGATTTATAACAAGCATATTGTGATATTAAAATAAAGTACATACACAAATTTACCAAATTTATTAATTTTAATATATATTTTTTTTTTATTTTATATATTTAGTAAAGTAATAATATGTGATTTTTAAAATTATACAATGTATGATACTAAATATTAATGAGCATGTATGAAATCAAAAGAACTAAAACTAATTTAAATGAACAATCTATGAAACAAACAGGGTATTATTAATTACTTATTCTTTAACTTTACCTAATTTGTTATACCACTATTTTTTTATATATATATTTATGGTATTAATATTCATATTTGGATTAAAATATTAATTGTATTTATATTGTTATTTAGGCTATATAATTTTGTCCATGTTAGCCTAAATGTCATTATATTAGATGTACTATACACATTATTTTTTGATACATATTTATTATTATATTATATTCTCCGAGAGTTATGTTATACAGTTTTTATTAACTTTATCGTTTTAAATTTAAATAAACACTAGTATTATGAATTATTTTTCTTCATCAATAACCTTATTTAAATCTTAATTTACTATTAAACACCACTATAATCAACAAATAAGTTTAGCCTTGTATTTATATTTTTATACTTAAAACATAATATTACATGAAAATAAAAGAGGAAGGCAACTCACTAGTTTTGCTAAACTTATGTCAATATATAAGTATACTTTGATTATTTTTTTTACTATTCAAAACATGTTAATTATTTATCTGACATTATTATTGTTATTAATTACTTGAAATATTATGTATGTTATGTACTCTCCGTAAAATATATAATATGAATAATAAAAAAATTATCATGCACAAATAAATATATGAGAAAAAAATTTAAATGGAGATTGCAGTCTCTGTGAGCTAGACAATTCAATCAAATCAAGTTAAGTGAGTCTCAAGGCATTCAGGGTCATGTTTTTTTTTATGTTAACCTATACTATTAATAATCACCACTTTTACTTTGTAGGTCGAACATACAATTTCTTATTAGTTTATCGCAAGGATTCATTTAATTTTTGTTTTTAAAATATATCATAATGTATTATTGAATATTATCTTATGAGTTATAAGTTATAAGAATACAAAAATATTGTAACATAATGTGTTAGAATAGAGTAAATTTTAATGCATGTAAAAATAGTGTGTCAAACCTCGTAAATTATAAATGCATATTTATCAGCATCTAAATACTAGTAAAAATAAATCCATTTATCATTGCAATTAAAAAGAAATAACATATAATTAAACTATTTTAATTAAAAAATGCTGTAACACATTAATCTATCTTGTTTAACAGTATTTTTATAGAAGTCTATAGTAAAATTGTTAAATTAATAATGAAAAAAAAAGCAGAAGTAATTGCAAAGTTATAGTAAATTTAAGATGCAGTATATAACTCACCATACTGAAACAATTAAACTTTATTATTGATCAACACTGTTCTTTATTTTTCTGAGCTTAACTATAGATTATAGAAAAATTGATCAAAGCAGATTACATTTTCGTGATAAAACTTAACATTCTTGAGTCATAGAAAAACGCATATGTGTTTTAGTCAGTTTTAGTTTGGAGAAATTCCATTCAACACTAGCTACTGTCCCAGGATACGAATAATAACTTCAATGCAACCCATAAACTTATAAATATAGCTTAGATTTTATAGTCAATAATGTATTAAAGAATACTTATAGACAAGAAATAATTAAGTTATGTTCCAATAATTAATTAACAATCATTCGATGTTCTGAATTATTGTGCATAAATCATCATTAATAATAAATTCGGATCCAAGTAAACAGAAAATTGGTAAATATTGCAAGTAAGATTTATCTCAAACTTTTACGATGTCATACACTAAACTTTGTTTTATTAATTTTTTTATATTTATCATTTTAGAATTATTTAATAAATAGATATTTTTTAATCAAACAAGAATAAGAAATTTTTATACTGAAATGAATTTGTGTGTGATAATAGATGAGTATTCTTTCTTACACTATATTTATTATTAAAAATGTAAAGTAAACACACTTAAAATCATAAAAAAATTAAAAAAACATATTTTTTAATTATAATTTGGCCATTATTATAGGTCATATTTTGGTGTTTATAAGTGTTTATTAAAAGTACTAAATATATGTAAGCTCGTTTACAAACATTTATTGAAAAGAATATTTACACCACAATTATAAACAATTTGATTATACATATATTAACATTAAAATATTTATTTATGCATAAATTAATCACTTGGAACTAACATATTTGATCCTTTGGAAGCATGTACATTGGACGCTTAAATAATAAAAAAAAATATATATAGGTAAATCTTAATATATCTTATACAATTAAAACCAAATAATAATATATTTATTTTAAATTATAAACTAACATTTCTAACAAAGAAAAATATAAATTTATGTGATGCTGTCATGAAATTTACTTAAATATATACAATCTGTATTCATATATATATATATATGTATATAAATATTTTAAGTACTAAGTTTAAGTTTAAAACTTGATACTAATTTTTGTTCATATAATTGACTTAAAATTAAATTTCTAAAACCTAAAAGTTATTCAAAAATAACTTGAAAAAAAAAATAAAAATCAGGTCAGATTCTTTAAGGACGAGATAAATATAAATAATATTAAGTACCCGTCCAGGTATCACACAAATTGATATCACATTAACTTATAATTTTTAAATTAAGTATTAATAGTATGAAGACATAAACTTAAATCTTTATTTCAATCAACTTTTGTTGAAAGAATTATGTAATCATACATTTAAAAATTAATGAAATATATAAACAACTAATTTAGTTTTACATAGTCATAAATCCATTTAATTTTACAATATTGAGCAAGTTTGGATGACTGATAAATAAGTCCAAAAACAATAATTTATAAAAATCATTACAAATTCTAAATATTATCTGGTAAAAAGATATTTGGTTTAATTTTTTTTGCCATGCAAATTTATAACTAACCAATATCCTATCTTTAAACTGATAGAAAAAACAAAATACAAATATTTGTGTTATATTTTACCTAATCTGGTTTATAGATTGGAATTTTTGGAATAAATTCCACCAAAAGTACCTGTAAAAAATAATTAATATAGTAAATAACATTGCATAATAAAATTAAGTTTTATTAGTGATGAATTATAGAACTTTCATACCATTTTATACTGCTTCTAATATATAATATATAACTATTAATTTAAAATAATTAAAATAAACTTTTTACTTATTATGTGATTCTAAATAAAAATACTTTGCTTAAACAATTAACTTATAGTTAAAAGGGAGTAAAATAAGTTATTGTTCTTCTAAACAGTAGGAGTCAAGTTTACTTTGTCATTAAATAAATTACTATAATATATGTGTTACATTTTTATTAAATATTATATCGTTTCAATATAAAACAATTCTGAGCAAAGATAGTTGGCCAGCATATATTACTAAGTATATTTTTTGATATTGTTATAAGTCAAATTATGTTTTAATAAAAAACATAACATTTATTATAATATTTATATTATTAATTTTCAATTATAATAATAGTATTTACTTATTTCATACAAAATTGTTATTCATTTTTGAATCAATAATATAAAAAGTTCATGGTATATATAAGCAATAGCTTAAAATTAATTTAAATGTTTTAAAAAGGTCATTGTGAATATTTAATATCATAATAAACTTAAAGTTCTGGTCCATACAAATAATATTTTTAAATTATAACAAAATAACTAAAATCATTATTCATCATTTAAATATCTAATCTCATCTAAAATTAAACTTCAATAAATGACTTTTCATTAAAAAAGAATTTGAAAATTTGAAATTTGCAAATGTCAAATGAAGCTGAAAGCTATCATATACGTTTCTCAATGAATGTTCATCGATACTAACGCACCAGATGGTGATTATTAATCAAGCCAGGACTCCACAGTTAGGGCTGGGAAATAAAGAACATGTATTCTTAAATTATAATCAGCAATATTTCATGTACTCATAATGAAAAATAGCTTCTAGGTTCGTTAATACTGAGGGACTTTTGTTGTGAAAAACACTAATAACAAGAGCACGGATTTTTATGCACAAAAAAGTATTGTAATATGCTATATAATATGCAGTAAAAATCATAAAAATATGTAAGAAATTTTTTTTTTATTTAAATAAAATTTACAAATTAAACAACATACAATAATTAATTACAAATAAACTAAGTATTAAAATTTTTTCGTTTTAATATGCAATATATTTCAAATTTTGTAAAAATTTACAAAAATGTACAAATAAAATTTCATCATTAGATTCGAATTCTTATGATTAGTGAAAATAACTGAAAAAATCTAAAAAAAAATGATAAAGGGAAAAAAATATAAGATTCATAGAAATCTTGCTCTAATAATAAATAATTTGTTAACTGTACGTACAATTTTACTTCTAATAAAAAATATATATAGAAGTAAGTATTATCAGTCATATTGTGGCTGAACCTAGTTATCATTTAAGCTTAATAAAAACTTTAGGTAAAAATAATAACAGCAAACAAATTGTATTTATCTAAAACTTCTTAACTATAGTCATCATTCATCACACTCATTCAGTTAAATAAAAATCTGAAATTTGATAACTGTATAAAAATGTATAAGAATTTAATTAATAAATGTATAAATAATTTCAACTACAAAAATTTAAAACCACACAAATTAATTTTTAAATAAAAAATATAAACCCGACACATTTATTTTTACAGCATTGAACTTATGAAAAAATGGGTCAACTACACTGTATATCTAATGAGTTCTATAATAAAAAAAAATCTATAACTAAAATTTAGATAATAATTTAAAGATATTATAGCAATGCTTATTTTCTATAAAACAAACTACTGAGTTTAAAGTAATTTACTCTAATACTATACTCTAGCTCACGAATAAATTATACTGTTTCATACATGCATACTAACATCAGTGACTGACATCAACAAGGACACATTTTGTTCAGGACAAGAGTATAAGAAAATATTTTATAAATTAGGTATGAATTAAAAACATTAAATATTTAAATAAAAATATAGAAGAATTCAAAAACTTACATATTCTGTAATAGATGAAGTATCTACTCTTTGTTTATTTAATCTCCAATGCAAACCAATTTTATTGTAAAGATGATTATTTTCCCAATCGAGTAATTTATTCAAACTATGCTGAGTCTAAAATTAAAATTGATGAATTGATATAATTATATGATTTTTATGATATAAATAAATAAATAAATATAAAAACATTATAATATTAACTAAGAGTAATTACCCTTTTGCTGAGGCAAATAACAGGCCAAAGAGAACAACCAAGAGTACAGCAGCAACACATACATCCACAAAATAACCATTTAGCATTCATTGGTAAACTTTTCTTTAAAACAGAATTAATTCGCGCCATTGTTTCTTCAAATTCTTCTGGAGCCACACGTGATACAAGAGCACTTGGAAATTCTGATTGAAATCTGCTACTCAGTCCAAAACTATAATATACATAAATATAAATTTACTTGTAAAATAATTACTTTTATATCTATACACAACTAAACAGAGTAATTCATTTAACTAAGACACTTATTAAAGAATATCTTACATTAAATTGATCACCCTGTATAAGCAGTTGTTTTATTTGACCATTAAAATGAATATTTAAAACAATTACTTGAGTTATATTGAAAAAAAAATATATAAAAACTATAAATAAAAATAGCTCTTCGAAAAATATTGATATTAGTTAAAAATTACTTGTCCTAACCAAAAATTAAAATTTGATGGTGTTTTAATTGACAGCAATCAATTGATTTTTCAACATTTTATAGGCAGACATGAAAGGTTTAAATGCTTTCTTATGATACTTAATTATTTTTGCACATATATATTTCTGTGTATTTTTACCAAATCTTAAAAAAAGGGTAATTCTTATACTTGAAATTTTATTTTATTATATTTTAATAATGTTAGTTTGTTAATATTGTATATAATTTTAATTTAAAGTTGATACCTATTTTACAAACGCTATTAGCTTATTTAAAAATATAGTTAAAAATGAATTATTTCTCACAATATTGAATACTAGCATTTTTACAAGAGAAATTATTGATAAAACAAAATGTGTAACGTTTAAGGATCTTAAGAAAAATGTTTTATTTTTGTGTATAACATTATAAAATATTGTTGTTAACCATTCTTCTATGAATTGTAAGCAATTTATTATTTATCATTATTGAAAATTTTGTAGCGCTATATTAAAAATATGATAATAAAACGAATGGTCACCAACTAGTAGAGTGATAAATTTTATACAGCTTTATGACTCAGCGATAAAAAATAAGTACCATATAAAAATACTAAATAAATTAAACCAAAATATTTGTAAATTAGTATGTAATAGTAGTATATAACATTATATTACATATTATATTATACTATACTATACCAATGATTAGTTGTAACTTATAACTTAAAAGTTAAAAATATAAATAAAACAGCAATGTAATTTAGACAAGTAAATATATAATAATTAATTTCATTTAAAAGTTATGTATATAAATATTTTAGTTCAATTAATTAAAATGTGTTTTTTATTTGTTATTAAAATCTGTTTTAATTAGAAAAGAAACAAAAGTAGGTACTTGCTAAATTTTAATAATAAATGTTCCAAGAGGAATAGATTTAAAAATAAATTGAATATTGAAGATATAAACATATCTACAATAATATAATATTTCATATTATACTTTTTACCGATAACTGATACATTATATTTTTTTATTGTTATTTATGAGCGAAAAAATTCAATCATATACATATGCAAGATATTCAAACCAATATAAAAAAATATTGTATCAAGATAATGAATTATATCAAAAAGGTGGTACAAATAAACTGGTGCTCATTTTACTCACTAATTTAGGCTAAAAATTTCTTAATTATCTTATGCAAAATCTATGACAGTATTATAAATTTATAATTATGTAATCAATATTAAAGCAGAAATTTAAAACCAAGCAATAATTGAACATTATTTTATTATATAGTTTTTAATACCAGTTAAGAAAAAAAACTTCATGATGATTAAACAAAAAATAATTACTTATATTATCAGCAAATACATGCCTCTGAAATAAATATAATATTTTTACTTAAAATCCAAATTCAAGCAACTTTATAGATTCATAATAATTTATATTAAAAATATTAATAATCAACAAAAGAATTGTTCCTATGATACAGATTTCCTATTGCAGATATCATTCAAATACTTTATTTTTATTTAATATCCATATTAATTAAAATACCTATAATATATCAATAAAAATATACCAGATATGCTTACACCTATAATACATTTTAGTTATGTATTTACTTAAATTAGTATTTCAATAAACACCTAATAAAAGGATAAATGTGGATAATATACAGTGAATCAATAGTGCTTTGTTATTAAATTTTACCATTGATTAATTACAGCATATAATTTCTGTAATTAATCAGTGATTATACCTACAAATTTATACTATATCTATCAACACTAGGATCCAAAATATTTAATAAATCATTGTCATATTTATCTATAATGTTTTAATAAACATTATTTATTTATTAATAATTTTTATTAATATTTCAGAGATTTTATAATATATAATATGAAAACATGTATATTTAATGTTTTACATTATTTTATAGGTTTAAGTTAATATTATATATTTTAGTTAATTTTTCATGTAAGATTATTTTTTAAATTGAAATAACTTAAAGATAATATATATATTTATTTAAATTTTAACAGCTTAGTACCTACTCTTTTTGATGAATAAATTTCTACATAAAACACAAACATTTTGTAACATTCTGTATAAATATTTTGAAGATAAAATAAATTAATAAAAGTACAATTTATGAAATTATGAATTGAACTTTGAACATGTACACCAATAAGTAATCACTGTTAAGCCTAGAGCATGTCATTACTTACACAGTGAGATTGCCAATTCCTCTGATGAGTACTGGCTCTTGAACATGCATTAGGTATGCTTCATCCATAGATGTGCATGCAATCTCTTCATCATACCGCTGTATGTCGTCGAATACAGCCATGACATTTGTGATGGCGTACACTAAATAAAAAATTGATTTTATTTCAATGTGATGTTAAATAACACAGATGAAACTAATTAACACAACTCAAGGGGAGAGGAAGGGATAATCAAAGGTAACAAGGATATCCAGCTGGAACATTCGTTGGATGTCTACAAGTGGAATAGTTCATAAAACTCATAGATTTTTCTGAAATATATAAATGGTTTGGATAGTTTACTATTCATGACCTATATTAGCTGTATTCCTGCAGAATCTTAACAAAGCAATAGTTGCAAAACAGAATATTAATAATGGCACTTACCCTGAGATCTATTGTGATAAATATTATTATAAGAAAATCTTGTCGATCGCTGCGTTTTTGACGAGAACGGTACGGCACCAAAGTCCAAAAGCCACCGACAATTAAAGGCAAAAATAAGAAGGCGCAAACAATAAATTGATTTAAGTAGGCAGTATTATTGTAGTATTCGTATTATGATATTTAATATTTATTAATTATTATTATTATTATTTATTATTATATTATTGTTCTTCGTCGTACAACAACAGCAGCGGAAAATAATTATGTCATTGTGATTTTGAGCACAAAAATAATATTTTGTTTTTGTTTTCTCATATTTAGTTATGTTGGCAATAATAACTACCTATATTATTATATCTAAGCTGTGATGTTCCTACCACAACTGCATGATATCATTCTCTTTAATCGCTATCACACGATATCTAGAAATTCACGATTATCGACAAAAATGTAAATATTAATAAGATATTACAATACTATGCTTAATAGTTATTGACTATTGTTGCCGTACATTTTGTGGTAATTTGCTGATTTAAATTCTTCTAAACTTCTAATTTCCAATAGAACCCCTTCCTGCCGGGATAACAGATGCATTAGTGCAAAGACGCCAAACGTGTACGTGCATATACGTACCTAAGATGGAAGAAGACAGAGATAAGTCGCCGGAAGACAATATCCCTTTGGCGGACGATGATCCTCAAGGTATGTTTTGAACTGTATATTTATTTTGCTAATGATTTATACTTTGGTCGCTTAATGAAATTGCTTCATTTAAAAAAAATGATTATAGCCATTATTCATGATGACCAAGACATATCTCAATGTTCTGACATCATTGTACGCAATCAAAGTATGGATTCATTGCAGTCGTCATTTACAAATGGTAGTAATAGTCCAAGCAGAAACAGTGAGTATTTTATGTATATTTTAGGATTTCCATCTGTACTTTTGCACCAGAACATTACTGATTTTCAGTATATAGTTTCAATATCTTTTAAATTTCATTCAGAATTTTCAAAATATTGCTTTTTAAACATTAGTCTTATATTTTAATTTGTGTTTTATCTATACTCTATAGTTAGAAGTATAAACATTCAAAAACAAAAGATAATTTTATTCAAATCCATTTACTTAGAGTAAGTCTATTTTTATGCACCACTGTGGTGCAGGCAAGTAGGGTACTAAGCTATATCATTTTATTTTTTTATTCATTCTATGATACATGAGTAATAACCATGAATTAATTTTGAATGAATGGAAATCCTTATTTATCAATATTTACAGCAGATTTTTTCAAAGCTCAATTATTTCTATAAAATAAAATAATTTATATTATATTATCAATCTAAATATTTGATTTCCTGCTGCCTGATTTTATAGGTTTAGATCGTGATATGAGTCCTGATGAATTGGAAGAAAAAGCCAGGCTTATTACTCAAGTTTTAGAACTACAAAATACATTAGACGGTAAACATGTTTTTATATATTAAAATACATTACATTGAAAAAATAAAATAAATATATGTATAAAGTTTATTCATAATGCATTATTTTTTAGATTTATCTCAACGTGTGGATAGTGTAAAAGAAGAAAATTTGAAACTACGATCTGAAAATCAAGTTCTTGGCCAATATATTGAAAATCTTATGTCTGCATCTAGTGTATTCCAAACCACTTCTCCAAGAGTAAAAAAGAAATGAAGAATAGATTATTTTTGTTTATTTGCTGCCATAAACAATGCAAATTAATTAAACCTAAATGGTTAAAATACGCACAAAGCTTTATTTACTTTAACCTCAAGTCTATAACACTACATAAACAAATCTTTTTTTAAAGTTATTTATTTATTTATGCTATTTAATTTATAAAATCTAAGTTAATTTTTTTTTTTTAATTCAGTTATATCAATACTCTATGTGTAAAAACTAATAATTTATTGGCAAAGTTAATTTTTTTATCTTATTCTCATTGTACCAAATTGTAAAAAGTGAATCTATTTTATTTATGTTGAACATATTGTCTAATTTTAAATAATTTCTAGATTGTAACACATTGTGTATTATGTTAAATTTCAATTCTCACATTCCATTCATATTTCAGTATATTGTTATCAAAATAATGATTTTATTTTTTTGTAATTTCTTATTATTAAGTTTTAGCATAAAGCTATTAAAAATAAAGTATGTATCTCATTATCAGTATTAAACTAATTAAATTGAAATGTAGGTATATTCTCAAAATGTTAAATGATTGCTTTAAATTTTAATCTTCTTTTTAATTTATTATTATTGTTATTATTTAAAATTATAGAAGTTTAGATCTAAATTTAAGTATTTTATATTTAATATTGTCTTATTTGTCCACAATATATCAATGACTATACACAATTCTAAAACAGTTTAGTGGCATCGTAAATAGTACAATTAATTCTTCAAGTAGTTTTTAATTACATAGACACTTTGACACCCAGGTAAATAGTGGGAGACACACTAAGCCTCAGAAAAATTAATGGGTGAACTGGTTATTTTCTTTTGAAACAGAATGTAGAAAACACAAAAAATATTACAATACATTTTTATTTTAATATAACAAAGAATTTCAAAAACAAATTAAAAATACTGACTAGTGGCTAGCTTAATACTCATAGCAGTAACATCGTGAATTATAAATTATAATATTAACCTAGCTTTTGTTGCATTGGTTTTACAGTGCTTTAGTTTCACAATAAAAAGAAATATTCTTTGATATTGTTTTCTTAATATAAAAATGTGAAATGAATAATAAAATAATTGTATTGTATGCTAAATAAAATACACTTTTACTTAAAAGTAAATGTTATGAATTTAAAAAAAAAAAATAAGTATAAATAATATTGAATAATGTATATAATATGTCCAGTTAGAGAAAAATATAAATAAAATTAGTTAAATACATTGATATATTATTTTATTCAACTATTAAACAATACAATTGTATTTAAAAACAAAGAATGTAATATCATATTATACAATAATTGTTAAAAAATGTGTAGCATGTTGTCCTCTTTTAGTGGTCGGGCCTAATTTAATTTTACCATTTTTTTTTATAGCTACATACCATTTTTTTCGTTGATATTTCAAAGATAGGTATGCACTGTAAGGACCTTCGGGTTGTTCAATGAAAATAGTTGAATTGTTGTTAGGATCAGCCTAAATTGGAAATATCAATTAAACATTTAAAAAAACTACTTAAATTAATTCCCACCTCTCCGTAAAGAAGTCCATCTTTATTCATAGCTAAAAACAAATTTGCTTCAACTCCTTTAATACGAACATGACCAGGAGATATTGATGTGAATTCCATTATACAATGACTATCGATGTCATCATCGGAACTGGATACTGTTCCATTTTGAAGAATTAAAATATTATACCCATGCCTGCAATTTAATTTCATCCTGCGGCCATAATGTTTAATCGCGCGTTTGTCAATAATTACTGGTTTTTGATTCTTCTGAGAAGAATGACCATAAGACACGTGTACATTACTCAACAAGTGACTAACAAATCACAAAATTTAAACAATAAAAACATTTTGTTTTTAATATCAGTAGTAAATTTATAACCTTTCTACATACTTAGAAGCTGCACCATTACATGTTTGAATTTTTTCTTCTTGTTGATCCATGAAAAATGTGAAATGTGATCAAAATTAATTACAGTAATTTTGTTACTAGAAAAATGTGTTATTTATTATTATTTATTATTTCAACAAAATGTTTATTAACAAAATCAGCTTTGTTCAAGTATATTGTAGGATTTACTAAAAAAAAAATAAATAACAACCCACATGTCTACATTATGTATTATATTTATGTACGATATGTCATAAGAGGCAATACTGTAATAACCATTGAGGCATATGTGGGCTTAACGTGGGCAGACTACTAACAATCTAAAATTAAATTTGTATTTTTACCTTTAACCCCTCCATAACTTAATATAAAGTAATTTACAATATAGGCTATAAGTAATGTATAAAATCATATAATTTATTCTACAAATTTTTGACATATTAAAAGAGGGATAACGCCATTAAATTAATAGGCAGGTAGTAACTTGTGTTTATGAACAAAATAAAAATATATTTAAGTATAGTAGGGGCGCCTATGTTATTTCGTCGATTTTAAAATTAATATAACTCTATAGACAGTTTTTCTAACGCTTAATTCTTACTAAATTAAAATTCAAAGTTTAATTCAAGTCCATTCGTTCAATACGTAGCTAATCCTAAATAAATATTTAATCATTATTAATATTAATTTAGGTTTACGACAATATGACATACAAATTTGCCATAGGTCATTTGGAATGCTACTAAGTAATATCAAACATTCATAAAATCAAATACTTTCTATCTATTAATCTCTGAATTAAGACTAGAGTAGGTATATTAAAATTTAATATATTCAGAGGTAGGTAAGTAATAATATATTAACAACATTGTCCAGTTTTATAGATACCTACTTTTTTTTTTTTTTTTTTCCTTCTTGAAACCGGGAACGGGTGGGAACTGTTAAGCACAATACTGCCCTCCCGAACCCGTATCGTTTATTCACCATAACAAACAATTACAACAACATAGCGATACATACTATATATACATACGTGGGGGTCTCTAACCACCCTAGGTATTTGGCCTTCAGCCCACAAACTCAACCACCATATATTAATCGCGCCTGTCTGGACCGCTCCGCATCCTCCTTCCACCAGAGAATCGCCACCACCATTCTGCCAAACGCCAACCTCTGCTTCTCCGCCATGGCCTCAATACGTCGCTTCCATATAATATAATGTAAGTTATATCTAACAAACATTTTTTAGCTATCTTAATGATATGCTTAAATTCCCATCAATATTTAATTATTAAAAATCTTAAGTCTGTTATAATTCTTAGAAATCTTCTTCATGGTCTGAAATTAAACTAATTTCATAAAAAATTAACCTTAATCTTTATAAAGAAAATTATAAATACCTGCTTATCTACCTATATGTATTTTTGATATTTTTAATATTTCTGAAAAACCAAAGGAACTTAGAATTAACTGCCTATATTCAAGCCTTTATCTCTAATTAAAATTTAGTTGTAAATAAGTACATTATAATTTAGTATTATTATATAAACCAAATTGAAATAGTAGAATATTTTAAATAATTATAAATAACACAAACAAAACTAATTATTTAAAACACTTTCATATTAGGTACCTACCGACTACCATGAATCACATGTTCTGAGAAAAAATGTAAAAAACACGAATAAGTGAGATACGACTGTGGGTATTGTTCTGCTATACATTACATTTATTATACCTACAGTAGGTGTCTGTAAACGGATAATTTTTAATTTTTATGAATGTATAACTGCGTTTAATGTGAATTCAATAATTTGTTTTCTCATTTTGAAAAATAAAGGAAATTTTAATCTCTCTGAAGTATTAACAAAATTCAATTTTTTATCGGACACCTCCTTCAAAATTAAAAATCGAAGCTTTTCTTCAACTACTTATCGTATTTTGATTCTATTATATTTTCATACACGATACACATAATAATAAAAAATACACATCATTGTAAAATCAATACATTTATTAATCCGCTTAGAATTTAAAATTGCTAATTGGATATTTATAAATTGTTAACTAAAAAATAATTTGTACATTTTCATGATTTTGTTGAAATTTTAACTATAAATGCTTATAAAAATATTGTACCTATGTAATTTTAATTTTCTTAAATAGCTATAAAAACAACTTATGAGAATCTTGTATTAAATTGACAAGCTTTTTGAAAGGCAAACATTTTTTAACGAAATATATAAAAAAAGATTATTTTAATTTTAAATGTCTATTAATAGCTCAAAACTGTAAATATTTAAAAATTGTTATTATGTTTAAGAAATGTTAACACAAATCTTCAGTGAAAAATAAAATTATTCGCAGTAATTCGTTTTCGAGTTATCTAAGCTGCTAAAAAATAAAATTGGTTCTACCAAAAACTGATTCTAAGCATAAATTTAGATAAGATTTTTCGTATTCTTTTTTTCAAAGTATTTATTAGAAATTTTTAACACAATTTATATCAAAATTTACTATTAGAAATCAGGAACAACTACCAAAGTTGAAATTGAATCATTTTTACTGTCCCATAAAGTGATGGTAGATGCAAAAATAATAAAAATCATTTTATCAATATATTCATTGCTCAACTTAAAATCTAAAATATTTTTATATTATTTATTTAATGAATTATCTAATTATTCAATATAAAAGCTTTTAAGATATTCTTTATTTGAAAATATTAAATAGGTAATAAATAATGTTTATAGTGATGCCAAACCTATGCATCAACTGAAGCGATCACTTCATGTAATAAAGAGGGAGGGTGGTTTTATTTGTATGTGTTTTTGTTTTTACATTACATAATACCTAAACTAAATAATTAAGTAAATAACTCAACTTATTACTTATTAGAGGTAGATAATTTCCTTAGTGGTGGGTGAGTGTGTAAATATTTTGATTTTGCTTCACTTAAATTTATATGACTCGGCGCCACTGAATGTTTGATTTTTATGTAGTTATGAAAAATTATTTTTAAGCAGAATGTTTACTTGTAATTTGTATAGTTATATATTATCAAAAGACAGTGCTATTTAAAGTTCCGTTTCGTCCATTGTAAAACATTTGTAAGTATGTAACTATAATAATTAATAATCATTTAAATCATAGTTGCATAAACTAAAATTAAAAATAGAATGATATTCATATTTTATCTAATTTTTGATTGTGAATTGTGATAGAAATTATCAATCATAGAAAAGCCATCAGCTGATTCATCTCCCTCAACAATAAATAATTTTATTGTGTGTTATCAGTGTTATCACTCATTAACTTCGTATAGTGTTCACTGATAAAGCGCAAAAATTATTGAATACATAAACATAATAGTTATTACTTATTAGGTAACATATTACAGTACATAATATAAAATATTTTATTTTCAATTTTCATACCATTCCAGGTACCTTAACTTATTACTGTATTAAATATATTATTTTCAAATATTTAATATAATGAAAGTGCTTTTAATTGGCTGTGGACTAACTTCTACAATAACTGCATACTTGTTACGTACCCGTATACCAAATATTCATTTGACACTATGGGACAAAGCCAGAGGCCCAGGTGGCCGCACTTCAGTTCGCCGTGGCCCCAATGGTACATTTGTCGACCTTGGTGCTCAATTCATTAGCACGGATGCATCAACATTGTCAAAATATTCTATTATATACGAACCATTAATTTCTTCAAAAACATTAACACCTATGAATTGCAAAATCGAAGGATTATCAGACTCACACCAAACACAACACTTTATTGCGCCATCAGGTGCAAACTCATTAGTGAAATATTTTTTGAATTATGCTAATATAGATTGTACTAAATTTGAAAGGAGAGTTAGCGCAATTACTTCTACAGGTAAAGTGACATGTATTTGTGGAAGTGAAGAGTCATTTGACATAATAGTGATAACAGCACCAGTACCACAAATTCTTCAAATGGATTGTCCAATGTCTCAAACAGTTCGCTCTGAACTAGAAAAAGTTGTTTATAGTACACGTTTTACATACAATATGTTTTATCAAAAACCTGTATTAGAAACAGAATGGGACGTACAATTTTTAGATAATGAAACATTCAGATATGTTTCTATAGAAAATAGAAAACGTGAACAACATACTTCACCAGATTGTGTAGTTTTTCATACAACCAAGGAATTTGGACAAAAACACATAAAAGAAACCACAGAGAGTATGTTTCAAATGTTAAATGATGAAGTAAACAAATTATTTCCAGAATGGCCATTACCAGAATCATCCAATGTTCATAAATGGTTATATTCACAAGTTACAACTCCTTATAGTAACAGCCCTGGATGTGTTATACTAAATGAATCCATTCCAATTTTAGCTGGTGGAGATAGTTTCACCAAATCAACATTTAATGGTTGTATAGAATCAGCACTTCAAATTTGTGAGACTATGGAAAATTTAAAGTCATAAACATGTATACTTTTTTTTTTAAATTAATAACAAGGAGGAAATGTTTTAAGAGCTCTTATTAAAAATAATTATTTGTTAAAGCAAGGTTTTTTTTTTTTTAATCTAATTTGTTGTATCATCATCTAAATTCATTTCATTTAATTCATCATCCAGATCATCAAGATCTTCATCCACAAAAAGGTTTTCATTGATCGGGATTGTAGCTATATCAGAATTATTAAACCGATCCTGGGGTAATCGGGTACCAGTATCATCTACTTCACTTGCTTCCATTTCTAATGTTTCTAATTGAATTTCTCTAACCTATAAAAATTATAAATTACATAATTAAAATAAATAATATTTATATGCATCAAATAAAATATTCTAAATTTTATCTAACAGAAACACAGTAAAAAATTAAGTTAGAAGTATTTCCAAAAATTGGTACTTGTTTGATAACACCTTGCCATCAAATTATCAAAGACTTTTAAATAAAAATTCTATATTTCTATATGTCTTGAATCTTAATAGATAAGTATATAATCTATTTGTGGAAAAAGGGTGAGTATATTGTAGAATATGAGAAATTTAATATCATAATATTATATTAGTATGTTATTGGGTTATTGCTATATTGTATTTATAGTTTTAACTTTTAAGTAAATACATTTCTCATAAAAATTTAAAATGTATTTTAAATAGTCAAGAAATCATTATTAGTCATTATTTACTTATATGTAAGTATGAAATAATAACTATGCTACTGTAAAGCTCTATATATTGTTTTTATTTACTTTTAATTGAAAGTTGCTTTAAGGTAAATAAAAAAATAACCCCCTAGTATAGGAGAAATGAAAAAAGCACCAGAAAATTATCTAAAACCTATCAAATCAAAATTATTTCTACACAATTAATATAAAAATATTTTATGATTTAAGTCAGAGAAGTACTAAAAAAAAATTTGGTAGGTTTTTTCAGTGATTGCTACAATATTCAATATTATATCTATTAAATTTAAAACTTACTTTTACATTTCCATCAACTTCTTCATCTTCATCACGTGTATAAGCATCAAATGCTTCTTCACCATCATCCATTGAATCACCAATTGCCATTTCAGGATTAAATGAAAACATTTCACGACCAGAAAGCTAAAGAATTATAAATTATATATTTAATTAAAATCATTAAAAAAAAAAAAAAAACAAATTACAAACCCCAATTTGTCTTCCAGCTTTATAGTCTGTTCGTTTCTTTTCTTCATCTTTAATAATTGCATCTTTCTTTTCTCTAACTTTACGTTTTTTCCAAGCTAAAAAGCTTTCTAAGGTTACTCTAGTAAATTTAACAGAATTCAATGCAGCTCGTTCTCTTTCTATTAAATCTTCTAATTGAATTTCATCCTTCTTATCATCTTTTTTCTTGTCCTAAATATATTTGATAAATTATAAAGGGGATAAAAATGTTAAATAGATATCATAATATTTAAAAATTGTATTCCATATTCAACACAAAAAACCAACCTTTTTAAGAACAAATCCAGGTGGTAATGCATGTCTATAAATACAAGAGGTACCATTTGGACATGACCAAAACCAACCATATTTACTTTTTTCAACAGCTTCCAAAAAAAACATGCAAATCTAAATCAGAAAATATATTGCATTAAACTGTAGGTTTAAAATAATATGAAAATGTCTAAGTTACTAACGATATCAGTTGTTGGATGTTTTTTATCAGTTTCTCCGTGTTTTTTGTTTACAACTTCTTTGAGCTTATCTTCATCCCAGTTTTCCATAGTATCGTTTTCTTCACCATCTCGTAAATCTACATACATACTTCTTTTTTCAGCTTTCTTTTCAGTAGCCAAGTCGTGAGAAAATTTACATTTTGATCCTTTAGCACATTGACCTTGTTTGTAAAAAGCACATAGGATGGATTTTGGATCAGCACCTAATTTATTATAAAATATAATCATTGTTTATTAATAAATAGCAAATAATACATAATATTTTTCCAATTAAATAAGAGATTCTGACAAAATATGATTCTAGTTTTATACCAACTTTACATAGATGGTGTTGAAGTTAATTTTAAATATGAAATCTGAGAGGAGGTACCAGTAAAAAATGAATTTGGTAAATTAAAATATGGGAAAATTTTATATATCCAAGAATCAAAGACATGTTTATTAATATTCTAGAGACTTATATAGACAATATAGTCCACTATTGCTTTACATGGTACATACAAGGGAGTGTATCATTAAAATAAAATTCAGAATGAAATTTATAATGATTATGTTAATCAATTACTTGACAAGTTTTTTAATAAACAGACTATACACAAAGTTTAGATTAATTATGGAAACATTTCTAAAAAGGGGGAAAGTAGGTAACTATTCCGCGTGTTATAGATATCTCACCATTCAGTAAATCACTGTGCTAAATTTGAATTCAATGATAAAGAATTGCACATAAAAAATGATACTGAGGGAAGATGATTTATCAGCTTATATTACCAAGTATATTTAATAATGTTTTTTTAATAATGCTATTAGTAATATAGCAGGTTAAATTAATTTTTGTTGAAAATACTGCATTTATAATATTACCAATATTTTAATTATTATAATATCATGAATAATAGTTATTTTTAGAGCCAATATTAAATTAAATAGAAAATTATGAAAAGATTTTTAGTATAAATAGGCAATTTCATAAAATGTATCTAAATGTTTTTAAAATGTAATTTTGAATTAAAATATATTAATAAATGTAAAAGTATCAAGTTCCCAAAATAAAATTTTTAACTACAAGAAAATTACTTAAATAATTATTTTTTGTTTTGTAACTTCTAATATAAAAAAAAAACTTGTTTAAGTTCTTTTTGGTTTCAGTATCAACTACTTATATGGAACCTTTCATTGAATTTTCAAATTTTATAAAAAAGAAAATTATTTAATAAAAACTTAAAAATTAAAAAAAACCGTTAAACTGAGAAAAACCAATTTAAGTTGGTAAAAAGGGATGAATTTTTAAGAACTTAAAAGTAATGTTTCAACTAAACCTAAAGTTATACCTTTTTCAACTTTTTGAACTGGTTTAAAAATCAATCCTAATTCATCTTTAGTTTTATCATCCTTTTTCTTGTCATCTGTTTTACGCGCTGCTATTCCACCAGATTTAACTTGTTTCTCGACTTGTTGAATGAATCTTTGTTGTTTGGCTCCTTTTTTATTTTTTAAGCCAAAAGTTTTATCCTTTAAACCAAGTAAGAATGATTAATAAGATTTTAATAAATACCATAGATTTTTTTATAAATGTGTGCTAATTGTAATAGTTAATATGGATAATTATAAAATTTAACAACTTACTTCGATAACTCGTTCTTTTTTCTTAGCATCAGCTTTTTTACTAGTTCCCTGTGCTTTTGTTTTGGGAGGCATTTCGTTTGTTATAAAACAACTAGTTAAGTATAAGCTACTTTAATAAATAATAATAGTACTGTTAGTATT